GCCCCCCCTCCTCCCCCCGCCCCCGCCCCGCCCCGCCCAGGGCCCTCTGCCCTCAGGTTACAAAATGTTGAAAACCGAATCTTATCTGGAATGTCTCTTGGCCTTCGTTCTCTGCAAATTGGCAAACCCCACTCCCAGCAGAGACCCACATGGACAGTGGACCAAGGCGACAACTAAGTGGGAGAAACAGGGCTTGGCGAGGGCACCGGTCCCTTCCCATGGGTCCATGACAGGTCCCTGCAGGCAGGGGGACCGGCAGCAAGCCAAACCTCTCCTACAAAGGTGAAGCCCGCCTTGCAACTTGAACCATTTCTGAAAAGATAGAAGTTTTCCCTGTCGGCCTCTCCTCTGCAAAAATAATTTTTTCTTCAAGTACGTCCAGGGTAGAACGAAACCCGACTCTTACTTGGTCAGATGTGGGACTCAGTAACTGCATGGACCAGCCACTTGGCCACTGTGAAGGCTGAGGGCCATGGGCCGGGACCAGGACCAGACCCTGCGAGGCTGGAGCCTCTGCGGGCCCGTGGGACAGTCCTAAGGTCTAGCTCACTGGCTTCCTAGACATGGAAAGGAAACGGGGGTGTCCAGCAGGCACCCCTTCGGGTGCGGCTCAGCCTCTCAGTGGTGTCCTGTCTTTGCACTAAAAACCGAAAAAATCCCAAACCTTGCTGTTTAAGTTTGTTGACTGCTTCTAGAAGATTCTCAAAGGAACACTATGCCTGAACAGTTCATCTGAAAGACAAATATCCAATTTGTAGTTTTGTGAACTAGGGGGGGGAAAAAGCGGGGGTGGGGATCTACGCTACCTTGACTCTGAGAAAGCGAGGACGAGAGCCCGACGGTCACAGCGAGCCTGTGGAGACGCGGCCACACCGCACAGACCAGGCGCAGGCCGAGCGGGAGCGCTCGCTAGGGGTCATCAGCCGGGTCGTTTTTTCTCCTGAGCTTGCGAAGTTAGGGAAGGTCGCAGGAGAATGTTCCGGAGCGGCCGCGTACGTGGAGAGGACCGGATCGGAGGGACACCTTACCCAAGGGCGCGCCGGGACACGCGAAGGCTGGCAGGGGCTGGCAGGGCGAGCCCGCGAGGTCAGAGTTCAGGCGTCCGCAGTCACCACGTCCCCGTCTTTCACAAAATATATTCAAACGCGAAGGGCAGGTTTCCCCTTTACTCCCAGCCATTGTCCTTGATCATGTGCGCGAGCTCGATAATGAATTTCCCCTCCTTGTATTTCTGACTGCTCTCGAAGGCGTGCTCCTTGGGGGAGAGGGAGGAGGCGGTTCAGGACTGAGTCCGAGGCAGCCTGCAGCTCCGTCTCACTCCTGGCAC